ACATAATTCCAGGAATCAGGAAATATTATTTCATTCCTGGCCTTGCCAACAGCTAGTTCTGTAATTATTGGTAACAACCACTCCTTAGTTTTCTTAAATGTAAAAGTAGGGAGTGGGACTAGGTCAGGGAAGGAAACACCTGATACCCTGATGCGTGCCACCACTGCTATCATTCTGTGTTTGTGGCAGACGTTGTTAATCAATTACTGAAAACTTCCTACCAAATTAGGAATCTCCTTCTGAATTTTTCTCAGCAGAGCATTGTAGGCAAACCATTACCAATCAACTGGAGTTGGCAATCATAGTAAAACTTACTTGCCATCTTTGAGCCAAAATAGCTCTAAGAGTTCTTTTAATTCTAATATTACTCGAAAGCCCAAATGAGAGTACACAGTATAGCAAATGCCAAAACACAAATATCTTGGCAAATCTTACTTCCCTTTTTCACATTCCATCCTCGAGAGTGTTAAAGGCTTTGTCTACAAAGCCTGTCCATGAAGATGTCTGCTCTTCCATCACTAAATTTTGCTTTTTGTTTATCCAAAATGAAAAGAATTTAATTGATTTTTCCCTTTAATTCTAAAAATGCTTACTGTAAAAATTGGAGCAGTGCAGAAAAGTACAAAGAGGAAAGTGGAAATTATGTGATATTCAATGCCCGTTATTAATATTTGGTAACCGACCTTGCAATCATAACTCTAGGTATGTGTTTTTCTGCACCCTGTTTATTTTCCCCATACAGGAATGTTATGTATGGACAACTTTGCATATTACTCCAAAGCTGCAGCTGTTAGACTCTATTCAATGTACCTGTAAAATTCCATCTTTGTCTGGGGACTCCTATTCTACTAAGTGACATTTTGCAAATATAGCAGTAGATTGAAAGGACAAAGGGATTTTTAGACCCTTACCACAACCACACTTAAAGATGTGGTCAAATTCTCCAGGCTCCACTCTAGTAAATACAGAATGGAGAGATCTCCAAAGCTTGTGGTTAAAATTCAGTTTGAAAATGAAGTGGACCCCGTAGCTTGGGAGAAAAGCCAATGTTCCTCCCATACCTTCCTACACCCCCACACACACCTTTTTTGTTTTTTAATATAAAAGTAGTATATGTTTATTTAGAAAAATGCAGATAGGTGAAATGAGAAAAATAAAATCACTAATCAGAATAATTATGTTTAACATTTTTGATGATATAGGGTCAGTCTTTTTTTCCTATGCATATATATTTATATAGGTATCAACACATATAATTCAAAAGCACTCTTAAACTTCGGGGTTTTTCTCTGCATTGTAGTTCTTGCAGAGAACTATTTCTATTATGAGCAGGAAACTATGAGTTAAAACTGGCTTTCGAGATTTACAGCTCTTTGTATCAGTAGTTTAGGCAGTGAGGTGTGCACACCAAGGAACCAAGATTATGGGTGTGTTTTGAAATTAATACACCAATTATTTGGAACTCTGCTATACTGGAGTTCAGTTTATCCACTGAGCACACTGCTCCTGAAGTTCAAATTCCCTCAGCAGATATTCAGAAAGTATCTTACATAACTGATATGAAAGAGGTCATGTCAGGTCCAGAATCTCTGTATGCATTTATACTTCCACTTACTTAATTGTTGAAATGTCTGTGTTTCTTAAGTGTATTTCAATAAGGAGAATATCTCACCATCGCCTATCTAATGGTATGATATTGATGTTTGCTCTGATGAGATGATTTACTTAGTTATGTAGCAACAATCATATATTATAGGAAAGATACCTTCCTCATTCACAGGGTGGTCAATTGCTTCTGAGAGTTTGAGACTATTAAATTGCAAAGTACCATCCCTATATGTGCTCGCAATGATGATTAACAAACCAAAAGCAACTGGGAAAAACCTTGCCCTTGATATTCAATATGTGTTGTTATCTATTGCTGTGAAACAAGCCATACCAAAACTTAGCAGCTAAAAAACAATTTATTATAAGTTCTCACAATTCTTTATGCTAGGCTCAACCAGGCAGGCTTCTGCTGGTTTTGCTAAGCATGTTCATATATAGTTGCCGACAGATAACAGGTGGGGCTGGAGTCCTCAAGGGTTTCACTAGGTGAGCTGGAAGGTCCAAGATGGTTTCTTCACTCACATAGCCTCTCTCTCCACTTAGTCTCATCCCCCAGGGCTTCTCCCCATAACTTCTCTTCCCTTGAAGATAATCAGACTTCTTATATGATGGCTAACTTCTAAGAGTATAAAATTAAAAATGGTCAGATCTTTTTAAGGCTTAGTGACATTGTGTCACTTCCAGCCTCCTTCTATAAGTTAAAGCAAGTCACAGGGCCAGCCTTGATTCAGTGTCGGAGGACTACATCAATATGGGGGGAGGGGGGTTCATTGGGTACCATCTTTAAAAACTAGCTACCTCATATGCTCCAACTATAAGCTGGACAAATTTAGAATTTCAACTATAATTCCAAGAGATTCTGGATATTTTCTGGCTCAAACACGTAGTTCAATTAAGGAGAAGTGAAAAGAAGAGTAAAGAAACCTCAAGTTGATGAAGGATTTTGAAACAGTAGGTACTTTCTTGGGTCTTGCAAACTTGGCAGCTTAGATCACTGAGAAGATGGTGAAATAAATGGGTCATTGCTTTACCATTATCCCAAATCTTTGTGCTCAGAAATCTTACTTGATAATGCTTATTTTTTATGAGAACTCTAGAGCTAAGTATTAAAATTCTGACACATTTCAAGTATATATAGAGGGTTGTCTTTCCAAAGTCAGCGAAGAATTCAGACACCAATTGAAATGTACAAGGATTAGTAGAATGTGAAATCAATTGGGCGGGGAGGGGGGGGCAGAGGAGAGAAATAAAATAGTGGCTATGAGAGCCTGGCAGTAAAAAGGACTCTCATGGCACCAGGACAGGGGAGAAAAACCGGCATCATCTTTCCTGTTCCTCTTGAGGGTTTCAATGTATAATATCCGTGCCCCCACAGTACAATAAGTAAGTTCAGAGAGCAAGACCTAAGTTCTCACATAAAGACAATCTCATTTCAATGTCTGCAAAGACTGGGAACCCGCTTTACACGGGTAGTCTGAGACTGGGGTTCCCTTTTCTTGTGCTGAACCACCATTCAATACCAAACAGCTTTTCCTTAATGTTTATTTTTCTTAAACATGTTCATACTCTTATCATACTGTTCTACTCCCTTTGAAAATATGTACTCTGCAGGTGCCTGAAATAATATAGTCCCAGCAATTGCAGTTTTGTAAAAGGTTTTTTCATTCAGTCTAAACTCAATGGAAATTTGTTGCTTAATGAGGAAATACCAAACACTTTTTATAAACCCCTTGAGGGCAGCAGCCATATCACATGTAACTTTGGTATCTCTTACCTCCTGGGCTCATTGTCTACCTTCTTAAATGTAGTAATTTTAATAAGTAATTTGAATTGTTAACAATATACTTTTGCCCTTCTTTGACGCAGAAATGTCATTTCATTATGTCTCTTTGTGTTTCACGTACGGTTCATTGTAAATAATTTCTCCTAAGCTTGTTTTTGGTGTGCAGATCATCGTGCAGGCTTTTCACATAAGAGCTGAAAGGGTTTAATTCAAGTTGAAGACGCTTGCTTCAATTACAAGCGATTATCTTATGCTTCACTTACCTCAAGGAATATTTGAACATATAAATTTACAGATAAATCCTGGGAGTGTCAAATTATGCAACCAAAAGAAAGTTCTTTGGGTGTTGATCTGCTATAGTCAGGTGTGTGTGTGGGTGGGTGTGTGGTTTTTGAATGAAATAGTAAAACCACAGCTGGCACTACTTCGCCTGGTTTTGCATAATTCCAAGAAGCTAAAAACTGAAAACCAGGCTTGTTAAAGAGTTAGAAATATTGTTAATGCTTGAGAAAAAATATATATATATTCTTTTTAAGTCTCATACAATTTCACAATATTTATTTTCAAAAACTTGAAGTTTTCTGTGGGCAATGATTAATTTTTAAGTAATTGCTTTTAATGTAAAACGTAAAACATACTCATTGTAGACAAAACAGTAACAAAGATAAAAATCATTCATTATCCTACAACTATTAATATTTGGTGGACAACTTTCAATTTTTTTTCCTAGACGTTTTTGCAAAATGCATCCATACTGTACAAACTACTTTATAATCTTTTTTTTTTTTTAATTATATCGTGAATACGTGAAAAGAAACTTGTGAAGACTATGGGATGTTGTAGTACTGCACAGTGGTAAAGGACGCCATCTGTGGTGTAGTGTGTGCGCTTTGTTGGGAAAAGAAAGCTTATAGTGGGCAGTAGTGACTACTCTCCGACCAAAAGACTTCGTTTGCCCTTGGCGTCCTGAGCGTAGTGAGACTGCAAGTGCGTGGGACTAAGTGGAGGGCGTTCAGGGTGACTACCAGCACGAGCTCCCAGCTTAGTCCACACTTCCCCTGGGAAAGTCCCACTGGTCCCAGCCCGCGAGGGGACCGAGGGCGAGAGGACAGTTGGCGATGCGCACGGCCGGGTCCAAGCATTTAGCCACCGCCTCCCGGGTGGCGCCACGCTCTGGCGGTGGGGTGAGATAAAGCGGGGCAAGGTTCTGTAACTCCAAATCAGGGAGGCGCAGCTCCGATACCAGGGCCTTTGCCTGGTCTCCAAGCGTGTTTGTTCCAACTGTTTAAACTGTCTCAAAGCGCCCGAAGTCGAGCGACCTTCGGCAAATAACTCTTGATCTCGCAGGCGGAGAGCGCTGGTTTTATTTGCAGGGAGGGTAAATTGAGCGCAGAACCCGTGGAGCTGACGCAGCCATCCTCCGGGTGCCCCGCCCGCCCGCGGCCGCCCACAGGGACCCCCCGCTCGCGGCCCTGTCCACCCCCGGGCCGCGAGCTTCTTGCGTCAGCCCGGACGGGGGTGGGGGATTTTCGGAAGCTCTGCCGGCGGGCTAGCCGGGGAAGGGAAGGCCCGGGCTCTCGCCCCGCCTTCGGTGCGGGTGGGGAAGGGCGGAAGGCGTGGCGGGGCGAGAGCCCGACAGGCGACTCCGGCCCTGTCGCGGAGAAGGCGGGTTAGCCACCTCCGCCGTCGTCAGTGCCTCCCGGTCCGCGCCGCGCCTCGCCAGCCGGGACAGGGTCGCCGTCAGGGAGCCCCAGAGCACGGTCCCCAGTACAGCATGATGGACTCGGAGCTACCGCCGCCGGGACTACCGTCCCAGCAGGTGCTGCCCGGCCCTCGAGGTCCCACTGTGGTACCAGGACGGGAACAGGGGCGCGAGGGAGCCGCGGCCCGGGACGGACAGCCGCAGCCGGCTTTTGCTGTCTGTGGCCGAAGCCAAGGCTGCCGCAGCTGCACACTGGGGCCGCTGCGCTTTTGCGGGGACAGGGAGCGGGACTCCCGGGGCCGTCCGGGGCGTGGGGGCGCGGCCGGTGGTCCCACCGACAGCTTGCCCGCAACCCCGGAGCGCGACTGGGTGGTTGGTTGGGGGCTACGCCTGCGTGCATGGGGTGAACAGAAGTCTCTAGCGGCGTCCCGGACCGTCCGATTGGGACGCGGGTGGCCCAGCTGGACCCCGAGTTCGAGCGGCTCCGGAGGCTGCGGGGCAGGAGGGGGCGGACACTGGCGGTCTGAGCCGGCGCGGTCCGGCCCTTCCGGGGCCGCGCGGCTACCCCGCCTCGGAGACAGCAAAAATGTGCCTAGTCACGGGGCCGCTCCCGGGGGAGCTCAGGTCTCCTTCGGGCTGGGACCCGGAGCCCCCTCCTCTGCCACCGCCGCCCCTGGCCCCACGACCTGCGCGGGCTGCAGCACGGCTCGCTCGCCCCGCTGGGCCGTCTAAGGGTGATCCTTTGCGAAGTCATCAGTTCATCCATCGGATCACCCTCTTAGGCAGCTTGGCAAGAAAGCCTAGCCCCCAGGGGGAGATGGAGGAGGTCCCTAAGTGCCCAGTGCGCTCGGATGCCCCGACGTGCGGCGGCGGAAGCCGGCCTTGCGCATCCGTAAAGGTTAGGGCTGGAAGGCCCTGGGTCGTCTCCTCGCAACGCGCGGAGCAGAGAACTCTGAGGTCGGAGTCGGCCGCGCCGGGTGCTTCTCAGTTTCCGCCCGGTGGCGCACGCCGTGTGCGTGGCCTTGGCCTCCGTGACCGTGGCCGGTTGGCCGTCACGGCAGCCCTGGGTTGGCCCTTTCCTGCTTTATAGCGTGCAAACCTTGCCGCGCCGGGGCCAAGGGACAAGTTGGAGCTGTTGATCTGTTGCGCAATTGTTATTTTTTCCCCTGAGCGGCTTTGTCTTTGGATTTAGCGTTTCAGAATTGCAATTCCAAAATGTGTAAGGCAAGATATTCTGTTTTGTGCTGTCAAGGGTAAGAGTTGCGAATGTAGATTAGAATTCCTGTAGATTTTAGGCTGTTACTAAATATTTGACTTTAGGATATTATTTCTCCCTTGGGTGCTTTATATAGTTTTCCTTTTCTGTTTGAGAATTTGCCTTGATATCTTAGCATGTCGCTTCTTGGGCAAGCTCAAGGGTGAGACACTTGTGTTTCATATTGCTTTGCTATAAAGTTCTGTAAATTGTTATAAAAGTGAAAATAAGTTTCTGTTCATACTTCGTATGGACTTTTAAAGGAGTAGATATTTATATTTCCATTTTTGGTGTGATTAGAGTCTTCGGGAAAAATATTTGGTTTAAGGAAGTGTGTAACTTAATAAGTACAGTAAATATGTTTATGCTCTTAAACCTAATGTTTTAGACTGATCTCGAAGATCTAAAGTAAGGTTTTAAGTTATGGACAATGCATTAGTTGTGCTTGTTTAAAGCTGTTTGTCCTGAACTTTCCCCAGTAATGACTGGGATTGTATTCTCCTGGTTGCCACTGGTGTGAAGAAGTATGCTTTTGAATTTAGGTGCTTTTCGAGAGTAATCTGTATAGTCAGTCATCTGTATGACAAAAGGAAATACGATGCTGATGAGCTTTAGTTTTCCCAAATTCAGGAATTATACCCTGGAGCCCTCCATTATTTTTAGTATTTTTCTTTTCTTTACTCTGTAATTTAACATTCCTTAGATAGAAGTGCGTATGGCATTTATATTGCTTTCTCTTTTAAATGTGAACTTTCTAGTTATGTTTGATAGTGTAACTCCTTTTCCACCTTTGTAATCAGACATCGGTTAGCATACTTGAAGACTATGAAAAAGGAAAATGGAGTAAAATTTAGAATCAATTTCATGTCTATAACTACGATTCATATTAAATCATTGTAGTCCAGAAAAATTCAAACAAAAAGTCAAAGTGAATTCTGATCTTTTGTCAAAGCAACTGAAGGTGCGATGTGGTACTATGATACTGTTTTTGGCCCTCTCTGCAGAGGAGGTGTTGATGAACAGGTCAGTAAGGAGAACCTTAGGTGCTTTCTCCAGTCGGTGGAAGAAGCCATCCGTTACTCTTTTCAAAGATGTCTTGGAAAAATGAAGTACTTTTGTGTGTGAGGGATGACATTGATCTTAGATTAGACAAATACGATTACTTTTAAAGGAAAATTAGTACAGGTCTCTCCATCTCCTGAGTGAATGTTAACCAAAAACCAGCTTGTCTTTTAAGATGTGAAAAAGCTCTTGGGATTGTGGAAGCAGCATGTAAAAGATAAATACACAACTCACATCGGTCTTTCTGCATTAAAAATAACTTGGGCCATTTTGAAATCTTTCTTGTTAACTTGAATTTTTGTAGACAAACCCTGTCTGTCTTTAGGATTACCAGAAAGAGTTGAAAGCCAAATGCATTATTTTTCTTCATATTTATTTTTATTCAGGATGAATTACTTAAGAAGCTTCATGAGAAAAGGAACCCTCTGTGAACTAAAAGCACTTTTCTCCCCCCTGGGAATTTCCTCTCTCCTGGCTGAACACATTTACTTAAAGGGGTTTTTGCATAAATAATATTTCCTCTTTAATTTTTCCTTGATCTGAGGTTAAGGTTTCAGTAGGGTGTAGGAAGAACTTGGCACTAAGGTGATAATAGATGTGTTATTGGGCACTTCCCTTGGGTGGCAGGCAGTGCCATAATTGCTTCACATGCATAATTTCACAGTCACCCCATGGGAGATACTATTATCTCCAGTTTCCAGGTGAGACAAGAGGCATAGAGAGGCTGAGTCTTGCTTAAAGTAACCCAATTATTGAGCGGCACAAGTGGAATTCAGACCTAGGTATCTGACTCCCATGGCACTTAATCACCACTTCCAAACTGGACCAGGACTAGTTAAACTTTGAACTGGAGGAAAAGCTCACACTTTAAAAAGTGAATAAATTGAAAACTGGGGAAAGGCAGGAATTAAAAAGACCAGACTTTTCCTTACCAAGAAATTCAGTAACTGTGAGGGAGGACGTGGACCTTCTTCAATACAATAAGAATAGTTAGACCTACCAATGGAATTACCACATGGGGGCCTTTTAAGGAAGACACAGTCCAAACGGGTTAATTTAGAGAGGCAGGACTGTTTCTTAAAAATAGTTTTTAAAATTTCTGGGATTTCAGCAGTGTCCAAGATTCTGCCTCAAACACTTTTCAGGGACTGTTTTCCTTTTTCTTGATCAAGTCTCTTAGCTTGAGAGAGCTTGAGTCTCTTAAGCTCCTCTTAGAGTCTTTGTTCACCTTTGTTTGCCTTGTTAGTTGGTATAGACTCCTGTTCTGTTGGCTTTTTTCAGTTTGAAGTAGTGGTCCAAAGTAACTTCAGTAGTGAAAATTTATCTATGGTGAAGAATGGGACAGATGGGATTAAATCAGGTTGAAGGAAAGTGGGTAGAAGAGAAAGAATTTGAGTTAAAAACAGCTAGTAGGAACCTTTGGCTCAAATTAAACATGAATCTCCTGTTTTGGTATTGACAAATTGAAGCACATGTAAGGGCTCAAGTGTATCTAATTAAAGCTCATTTGGAATTTTGAGAATAGTACAGTTCAAAATTAAATGCTTTATTTCTTAGTCCTTATCTTTAAATTGTTTTCAGAATTATTGTCCTATTTGTCTGAATTAAGGATCCTGCAGGTTTTTTAGGATCCAGTGGATGAAATTACCTAAAAGTTGGTCTGCGTAAACCCAGGGTCTTTAAATGCCTGGCATAATCACTTATAAAATTTGCTGAAGTCTGTTGCACACCAAGGTGTAGAAGGACAAGTTTACTTAAAGCAGTATTTAACTTGCTTTCTTTACCTATAACTGTGTGTTTAAGTTTACCATAAAATGGAGAATAGAGTTTATATTTTGCTATTATGATTTCTGTGAGTTCTTAAAATTTCATTACCATCTGCTTTTAAGTATGCTCAACAAACATTTATTAAAAGAGCTCTAAGGTATAGGCCAAGGCTTCTTCAGTTGATAATGGTATGTTCTCTGGAAATGAAAGCAAAAATCTGTTCAAGTATATAATTCTCAAACGGTATTAGAAAAATACACATGGTGTTCTTGCACCAACTGTTCCCTTCTCCCCACAAAATCAAAACAAAACTGCTAAACAAAAGCCCACCCTGCCTAAAGTTGGCCTTTTCAGTGTCAACCCCTGCCACCGTAAATACTTTATTATTAGAATTTTAGGAACTCTGAGGGTGGAAAGTACTTACCACCAGTCATTTTTACAGCATATGTCCTGTGATAACTGTATGTCACAAAGCCTCATATATGAAAGTCTTATTGTGTATGTGAGCATATAAGTATGTTGGCCCAAACACTGGTAGTATTAAAGACAAATGCCGGGCAAAGGAAGGATTTAGATTACCAAATTTGTCTTATTGATAATTGACTCTTGAGAGTCATTATAATCCATCAACAGGTTATATTCTGAAGGATTAAAAATATATATATTTTTTGGCAATGATAAGTAGTCATTCCTTTCTCACAGGCTTGGAAATTGAGACTTTGGGGCCAGTAATATCAGCAGCATGCTGAGGAGATCCGAACTCTCCATTGCTTTTTCACAAATCAGAGAAGAATGATTAGGTAAGAAGGAAAATATCAAATCATTTGGGCTTTGAAGCCTCTTCCTGAACTTAAGAGATTTTGTTTTCTACATTAGGCAGTTCTCTTTAATGGACTTTTAAAATCTAATGCTTGGGAGCATTTGGTGGCTTGCTCCCTGGCATATGTTGTCAGTTTGGCTCAAAAAATTCTTATAAAAATTAAAAAAAAAAAAAAAAACGAAAACAAAAAGCTACTGACACTTGTCTTATCTC